TGTGCTCATGGTCTTGCTACCCAACATGGTGGTCATAATCATCATCATAGCAGTAGTAGTAAATAGTACTAGTACTAATGTAAACGGCAACAAGAAATAGTAACAATAATAAAAGTGTAATGGTAATGGTACTGATAGTAATGGTACTACTACTACTACTACTACTACTACTAGTAATACTAGTAGTAATTAGCGATAGTAATACTAATACTAATCGTAATCAGTAATAGCAATGGTAATAGTAATACTAACTGTAGTCAGCACTCGTACTAGTACGTGATCGCGATACTAATAGATATTAGTCGTAATTAGTAATAGTTTAGGTGGACCCCCCCCCACCCTGTAATAGTGACTCTGAGGGATAATCAGGAATATATTAGGATCCTATTATATTCCTATTATACAACTATTACTGGGTGGGGGGACCTCCAAAGTAATAGTGATCGTTCAGCAACTGCTTTGGCCTCTGCTCGCAGCTCAAAGGCTTCGAGGTTGGATGCAAGCCTTGGCTGGAGGAGCCAGGCTTTCACCGGCAATAGGGTTTAGGGTTTAGGGTTTAGGGAGCCATTTCCCAAACCTTTAAAGGATCCAAAACATGGAATCCCTTAATAATCCCCATTGTCCCCAACGTTAGTAATATAGCCATTTATCCTTTAGGGGGTCTGGTTTTTCGGGGGTCCTTATGTTAAGTGTTACGCAAATTTTGAGGGGCATGCAAGTGGACCCTGACAGTTCTGTCTCGGAATTTGGAGATACAGCCTACTCCCTTTCGCACAAGGTGGCCATTTGCGAACCCCCGGGGGGGGCAGCAGTAAACAGTGCCGTCCGATAGTGTGAGAAACTGTCACTTCGATTTTTCCCTTCACTTGTACAGTATGGGTCCTTGCTGCTCTCTTTGCATGCAGGTCCCGACATAAGGCTCCGCTCATTTCGGGAAATGTAGGTGGAAGGAAAGTCTTACGGGTCTTACGGGGCTTTCAACCACCGCATGGTTGCCAGCAAAGGTGCTCCGACGCAAGGCATAAGGCCTGACGCGAAGTCTTGGAGCAGTTTGGGGCTTTGATGGTTGTCGAAAGTAAGTGCTGTTGTCAGTCCTGTTTATGGTACCGCCCATTCTAATCAGCAGCCCAACAGTCCCATCAAAGCTTTGGTCTAGCTTCATATTCAGGCATGAGTTTCTGAATCCACGTAACTTTATTGCAGTTTATCTTGGGCCTGTTTCGCAATGTGGGGACTATCTCCAGGAAGCTCATACTAGCAGCGTGCAGTGTAACCTAAGGGAGCTCATCTGGGTACCATCACAACTTGATGGATGCGAGGTACTCGAGCAAGAGGAAAAAAGCAAAGGAAAGCAACACATGGGTTATTCTCAAAATTATGGGCCCCCTTTGGTTGTAGACTATATAACGGCACCTAATATTTGGGGTGCCAAAATGGGACCCTCATTTTGGGGAGATACCCTAAAAAATCCCGGCTTCCATTTCATACTCCATGTTCTTTGCCATTTGAATCTCCATTAAGGGGGGCAATATCCCTAAACCCTAAGCTCTGGGAACTACCCCCATAGAAGAAGAAGAAGAAGATGAGATGCGGCAAAGCTCCGGAGGCCCGGTCCAAGTAGCTGGAAGTCTGCTTTGCTCGCATTATCCCCAAATCCCGCCCGATGCTGCATGCGAAGTTCTAAACTGCCGTCTAGGGGCGATAATTTTGAAGACGAGTAGCGATGAATGAAGTTAGGCTACAAATCTCTGTCTTCCTGAATCTTCACCAACCTCTTCATACCGTGCCATACCCACAGATGCCAACCCAACCCAGCCTCAAATTTCTGTATCTACCCTACCTGCAGCCAAGAACTAGTTACCGGGGGCTAGTAGGGAGTACGGGAAAACCATTATACAGGGATCATATACAGGGATGGTATTCTTCCATTCCCTGCTTACCCCCCGTAGGATGATTGATGCTAGCAATCCTGACCCTAGGTACCCTTTTTGCTTATGGACTTTTTCAGCGCCAGACCTTAGAACAGTGGGAGCTATGGTATTACCAAGGTCATGCAAGGTTCTTTCAGCTAGGGTACTAGAATATGTTATGGTACTAGAGTATTCCAGAATCCCAAACCCTAGTTAAGCATCAATAGAAGTTCGCTACTTTCGAGTTGCCTGGCTGCGCTTGTAATTCTCCCAGCTTTGAAGCGCGCGCTCAAAGACCTCAGGCTTTGGGGTTCAGGGGCCTTACGGGTCCTATAGGGGCTATACAAGGATATGTAGGATATATAGGGGGTTATATAGGGATATCCAAATATCTGCGAGCTACACAGGGACATTACCACATGGAATATCACTGAAACAGGGATTGAATAGAGATCTGGCTAGGCGTAGGATCCAGCTTCCAGGTGGAAAGCAGTGCAGGGAAGACTGCATCTCTGTAGTGGGCCCTACAATTCCCGATAATATGACAGCTCCTATCTTCCCTTCAATTCCTTCAATCCCTACAGATGAACCTTCAGCAAGTTAATCCCACACTAATATATGAAATCCCCCTACGAGCAGGTCGTGACTCCCCTAAACCCCAAGCATTGAACCCTTACCCCACGTGTAGCCCAATGCTACGGTTGTTTTGGAGCAACTCCTATATTCTGGTATATTATGGTATATCACAGTATATCACAGCACATTATGGTATGTTATGGTATAAACTAGTATATTAAATGCCGCGCCACAGGGATCACGCCGGCTTCGTGGCAAAGTTCGCCTGAAAACAAAGGTCTGCAGCAGCTTGCATCATGGCTCTCGGCATGGCAAGACACCCGCACCTTCTGAAGGGTCGTATAAGGGGTATATAGGGATAAACAGGGCTTACATAAGGGATCGAGGAGGAACGCCGCGAATCCTAAACATATTTTTGTTGCATCTGCGCCTGTGCACTCGCCAAATCAGCAAGCATGCACGGCCAAAATGCAAAATACATTACCAAAATCTTTAACCCTCACTCCTGACCCTGAAAAGCCTTAGAGATCATCACTCGCTTCTTCATTCAGACAAAAGACCAAGTTCCGCTTGCCAAGTTCGTTGGATCTTGTCCTGGGCTATGGACGGGCGTCTCAAACATGGGGTGTGCCTGCAAGGAGATATATGGGGATGTACTCGCTTATCTATGTATACATGTATCTGCTCATATTAATTTATCTATTTATTGGAAAAATGGGTGGCCGCTTTCAGACTCCCTGACTTTCTTTCAGCCCTAGTCTGCAGCCCAAGCGATGCCTAGCGGCGTGCATGCGCGACTGGTTCCACCCTCCTGGGCTCCAAGCGGCTTAGGTTTAGGGTTTAAGTCTAAGGTTGAAACTGTGGGCCCCTAGTATGGGCCCTTAACCCTGGGATCCTATATACCTACTATATACCCTATATGTACCCTTAAGGGCCCCTCAAAAGGCCTAAGGGCCCGTATAAGGGGCCCATACTTAAAATCTTAGATTAAGGCTCTATGACAACAGAAAGACTCGTAGGGCCGCCGCTCCACAACAACCAGGACCCAAAATCCTGCACAAAGTCCCTACATAATAATGCACCCAAAACAAATCCACAACCACCAGCACCCCAAAATCCGACACAAAATCCCTACATAATTCAGGTTTTTCCACCCTTATAGTGGGTCACAATGGCCCCTTAATGAAGCCCCTTTACGTACAGGTACTGTAACGGGGAATGAAACACTAGATTAAACCCTAAACCCTAAATCCTAAACCCTAAACCCTCCATCATCCTTTTCAGCTGCTGGATTTGGCCAAGATGCCGCAATCGTTCTCCAGCTCCCACCTGGCATCTGCCTCTACTCCTAGCCATCATATTCTAACTACTGTATATATATATACACATATATAAACATATAAATATGTGTATATATATATATATATGTACGTGTATGTATGTACTTAGGGTTTAGGTTTTTTGAACAACCCGCGTGACTCTTTTAGCTCGGGGGTCCGTAGCAGCCCTGGTCGGTTGACTACAGCTAGCAACCCTTGAGTACATCTTCATCAACAGTCAAAGGTGTCGTACTGGAAGCTGTGGCTTGTTGAGGTTTTGGAAGAGCAACAAGACCATCCTCACTTTCTGAAGTCAACCTCATCCTTTTCAATGGCTACCACATCTCGGTCCCCTAGGGTTTAGGATGTAGGGTTCAAGATTTAGGGTTTAGGAATGTAGTCGCGGCCTTATGTCAAGAGTGGGAACTACAAATTGGAAGGGACGATGCCAAAAGTCCTAAATCCTAAACCCTGAACCCTTTCAAACCAGGAGTCTCTGAGGTGCCTGAACCCTAAACCCTAAACCCTATAAACCCTAAAGCCAGCCGAACGGGTGTCAAAACCCCAAAACCTAAACCGGATCTCGCCTGCCCCTCGGCCCGCGCCAGATCAGGGCGCAATGCCCCGGCTGGGCCACAGGCATGGCCGGCACCCCAAAGGCCTGCAGTTCAAAAGGGGTTGTATGGGGATAAGCGAAAAGAAAATGGAAACTACAGGGATTATGGGAATCATGTAGGGGTTATATTAGAGGACTTTATGTTGGATTATATCGGAACTAGATAAGGATGATCTAGGGATTTTTTATAAGGATTATCTAGGGCAAATGGGGATGTAACCCAAGAATGGAGATTCGAATGGAAAACGAAATGGAAACTGGGATGATACAGCGGTTCGAGGAAAGTGTATGCAAGAAATGTAATCTGAGGTTAGAAAGGGGCTTATGGCAGGTAATGATTGAAACCCTATATAATCTCTATATGACCCAAGTCTCTATATGTATATATAGAATATGTAATTATATATAATATACACACTTGCGTAGGGATCACGCTTCCGAGCCAAGAGCTAAGCATCTGACCTGGCAACAGCTGGCACCGAACTTCGAAACTGCCCCGCAGACACCTGAGGCTCATTCAACGTGGTCTACAGGAAGCACAGCACGAACTACTGAATATAGTAAGCCTAAACCTAAACTCTATACCCTTATTATAGTAATACTGAACAACGACCTGCCTCCATAGTCCAGGATAACAGGCATGGTGGCAATCTGCCCGTCGTAGAAACGTAGCCCTTCTTGCACGCTCACGCCCTTGTCCTGTAGCTTGGGGCAGGAGAATCAGGATTTTTCGCAAAGCAGATCATTTCTCACGATCTGGCTGAGTTGCGTTGTAAGGCTTGTATTTGACCATGCGGGCAGATCTGCCAATGGCATCGGGCTGCCTGTATTGCCCCTCCACGTGATCACGTGACCTCATCTGCTGGCACAACCCCAAGAGCTATACTACTGCTTAGCACTTGCTGCCCACCGAGCCCTGTACCATGCCAGATCACCGTCTGAGTGCCAGCTCCCCAGGATGTAGCGGAAGTGCCAGGCACGCAGTTGCTGAAACTCGGGAAAAAGCTTCTTGGTCGCCACGTCGCGGCGAAAGCTCTGATATCTTTGTATCATGTCCTAATTTCAAGGCAGTGGCCCCTCCAAAGTAGCCCATTGGCAGGTCCCAGACCCCCAAAGGGATATGAAAATTAGATCCCCTGGAACCATATGAAAAATAATATTAGGATTATATAGGGGGTATAATGGGTCTACATAGGGGATCTAATATTTAGATCCTCCCAGGGGTCTGGGGTAGGAGATCCTCAGGCCCGGACAATCCTTTCGCAGTGGAAACTTTGGTCCGTCCTCACATGGTCCCCAAAAATTGCTTAGCCTCTCTCCCTTCAAGCACTTCAGAATATCAGCAGGTAAACTCTGACAGCAAATTCCCTGAACCTGCTCACCCTCCTTTAAGCAAGGGAAGCAACTGGCATCCCTTCATAACTGACTTCAAAAACCCCACAGAAGAATTACATCCTGATAATCACCACGATATACCCTTTGGACACCAGATGTAGACTTCGATATGACAATACAGTCCTTATGTGGGCTCCCAAAATGGGTACCCCAATTTTCGGAAACCCTACCTATAAACCACTATGTAAACCTTTTTGTCATGTTCGACGTTTTTGTCTCAGCTTATTCTCTACTATTTTGTGCTATCCCAGTATAATCTGTGAATGCCCTACAAGCCCCTGTATAACCCCTTCAGAACCCCTAAACCTAACCCTAAACCCTGAACTACACAGAACCTCTTTTTTGCACGACAGGCTTTCTGAGTCCGCCCGGTCGAAGTGTCGCTAAAACCTGAAAGCCTAAACCCTGAGGCCTACAGAACCCGTACACCTCAAACCCTATTTATAATCCCCCCAGGCAGCCACGGGGCTCACCCTCTGCATCACAGAGGGCGGTGGCAACAGCCAGCTGGAGCGGCCAGCCGCCGGAGAGCAGCGTGGGGTCCAGCGAGACCAGCCTTACTGATGATTGGGTTTGGGGTTTGGGGTTTGGAGTACCCAGGCGCCTGGGAGGATCTAAAAATTACCCATTATAACCCCTACATGATCCTTACATAATTTGCCATATGGTTCCAGGGGATATAATTTTTAGATCCCTGTGGAGCCTGGGTGGAGGGTTTCGGCTGGATGGGCGTCAAGGTGAGTCTGCTAATTTTAATGCTCCTGATAACCCAGTCTCCGATTCCCAGCTAAGCATCACCCAAACCCTGGTCTCAGAGAACCTTCGCAGAGCGTTAAGGCTTCAACTTCAACACTTGCCTAGCCAAGGTAGGGTATGGGGTTTGGGGTTCCCCAACCACCAGAAGCTGCAACCACCCTAAGATTCAGAGCTTGCCCTTTTCAAAGCTACTGTGCCGGCATCTCACTCCGCGTAGCTCTGGCTAAGTCACACCTCACGAATCCCCATCTTTCATAATGCATAGCTCCTGCAACATGGGCCATTTTCGGTGGGGGACCCGCAGAGTGTGCGCACAGCACGGCGAAGGTCTCGCGTGCCCCCAGAGAGCACCAGCGCCTCGATGGCCTGCGACAGCTAGACACCGGGCTGTCACTTGAGCTATAATCTAAACTCCTAGTATCCCCCTTCATGACCCCTATAACGCTCCCCTATATAATCCCCTATTTTAGGCCCGTGAAGGAATTTGAACTGTAGCTCACTTGGCTTTAACTCTTCAAACCGCACCAGGTGGTTGCCCCGGTATACCAACAGCTTTCGATCAGTCACCTCATCGCACCGCAGCACAGGGCCTCAGGAACGCAATTCTGCCCATCAACCTACTGGACAGCAATCAACTGGGTTGCTGTTAGGGAACTTGAACTAAATTACCATATTATGGGTATGTAGTGAATACTGGGCTTTCCATATAATTTGTAAGAGTAACTTAACCTAAGTTCCTTAACCCCAAACCCTATATTCCCTATGTACTCCTCTATAATTACCCCCTATATACCCTTATTATAGTACCTGAAGTTAAGTTCCTTAACTTCAACTCAGTCAAGCTCAGTAAGCTTCATCTCCTCCCCTTAATAGGGATTAGAAGAGGGATCCTCATATTAAGGCCTTGAAAAGGACGGGGTGTATTAATCAGGGCTAAGCCCTAAACCTTAAACCCTAAATAGTAGTTTCCACTTTCTGTTCCATTCTTCCAATATAATTGACTCCAATCTAACACCAATTTAACCCCTATTAATCATAGGTCAACCCTAAACCCTAAACCCATAGGTCTACATTAGCCATAAAACCCCATTATACTATAGTAGTTTCCATTTTATTTTCCATTATCCCCAATATAACCCCAATATTACCCGATAATATCCCTATATAAACCCTATATAACCCACTATGGTAGTTTCCCTTTTATTTTCCATTATCCCAAATATTACCTTAATACAAGGAGCCCAGAGCTGGCAGCTGCACCGAGGTTGACGGCAGGGGCCGACCTCGGCTGAGGACCGTGCACGACACAACTTCTGGCAAGGGGCCTACAGTTACTGGGGCTTAAGGGAGGGTGGGGGCGTGGATCCCTCTAATAATCCCTATTTAAGCCCTATATCGTCCCCATACATGCCCCTACTATGGCATAGATATGTACATGTAGATATTCACTCCCCCACTCCCGCTGAAGCACCAGTAGGTAATAGCCGAGGTGCCCATACCTCCCAAACAGGGCATCCTCGGCAAAAGGCGCATCCGAGACATCAAGGCACAAGGGGATGTAACACTAACAGTCATAATAGCGATGATAGCAATGATGGTAATAATAGTAGCATTATTGGTGATAATAATCGTACTAGTACTAATCGTGATAATTATCATGAGAAGAAAACGATGAATAGCAATCATAGCAATAGTCGAAATAAAAAGCAGAATAGCAATAATGGGGAAGCTCCTGATGCTTGTCGTTTGTCTTGGTGCACTTGGTTTGGAGCATGCCAAGGTGCATGTGAAGGAAATCGAACCACGTGCCCGCCGATTCCTCCACGTTGGCCATGGAGGAACCCCATTCCTCCAGCATCCAAAAAGCCCTATAATCTCTATATAACCCCCATAATCCCTGTAGTTTCCATTTTTTTCCATTATCCCAAGGGGAGGAGGGGGGGCAGCGCTGAGCGACCCAAGTCAGACAAAACAAATCACGCCAGTGGAGCTGCTACAAGACTGGAAGACTTCATAGCCTAGGCCTTATCCCCTAAATTCTGAACCTCCCTATATAACCCCAAGATGTACCCTAATAATCCCTATAGAACCCTCATATAATCCCCATAATCCCCTATCCCCATAATCCCTGAACCCGTATCAGTTTTGCAGAATCTGAAGTCTCCGGCCCAGCGGCCTCCGAGCCAAGATGAGATAGCAAGGCCCAGCGCAAGACAGCTGCTTGCCTCAGGTTACTGGTGAGTTTAGGGTTTAGGTTTAGGGCTTATAGCACCCCTTAAGTAGATAAAATGTCATGGGTATCTTATTATAATATACCCAAAGCCATATTCTATCTACTTAAGGGTGCATCGCTCTGCAAGTTTGCTGGGCTAAGGGTGTCCAGCACTGTGGGCGCGGCAGCTCATGGTCTCGGGGTAGGTCGCTCAACCTCCCCACGAGGCTGGGGGAGCTGGAGGGTCCAAAATGCCCTCCAAATGGCGGAGCATAGAGACTCCGAAGACCCATGGGCATTCTCAAGGTCCCTCTTGGGGGTTATGTGAATTATGTAGGCTTTCCCAACTATAGGCATTAGTAGAGGATCGTCCCCACAAAGGCTACCTAGACACTGACGGGCCTTGCACGGAGCTGCCGTGCCAAGGCCTGTACCCACGAAGAAAAGCATGATGCGTATATCATTTCATGGGATTGTGTAGGGACTTACATGACTTGGGGTTTTGCGTTTAGGGGGACTGGGGGGGCTACTAATTATACTGATTGAGAGCTAGGTATGAGCTGGAACTGCGCAGAGTGCCTCTGCGCATGTGGAAGGTCTCAGCGGGCCACCGGAGTCCACCCTCCCAAGCTTGTCGCATAGGAGCGTTGTACATCTACGAATGCAAGATCTGGAGGCCAGGTCTATTGCCGACATCCTTGCCTGCGATTGAGCTCTGCTTGGGTCTCCTGCATCATGGACCATCGCTTGGCATAAACAGTCCAACACTGACAAGTCTTGCTTCCAAAAGAAACCCATTGCCCGTCCCCTTCCACAGCTCGCACCTCGAAGCGCGCTTGTTGCAGCTTGCGATACTCTTGAAGCTGCGGATCCATGGCGGCACGTACGATGTGAGACTGACTACATGCTGCTTAACTTGGAGATTTGTGAATTTTGTGGGGCGCAGTCGGAATTGAATTCGAGAGTTTCTGGCCCTGCACCGGAGAGGCGGCAGGCCGCTTTGATATCATTATAACGGTACACGCCTATGCCAAGCTTTGGCAGCATCATGACAACTCCTGGCCTCTGCTGTTGGACCTCCGTCTCCTGTCTACCAAGGCCTATTAACAGGCCAGTGAAGCTGCAGATTGCGCAGTGCGAGTCAGCAATGACTGGCTCTAAGGTCGCTTCACCCCACTGTTACGTTACTAGCGGCTAGATTCCTATAACGGGCACCTTGGATTGTAGAGATTGCTTTGGGATTGCATAGGCCAGGCGCATATGTGTAGTACACAGTAAACGGGGCTTGTGCAAACTTTCGGTGCAAGGTGGTGTTGGGAGTTGCCCTGCCTCAAGGACGCACACTAAAACTCTCCAAATCCAACATTCACCGGTAGGGTCCCAAAGCCCAACAGCCGAGTAACCCTACATCCTAAGCCCCCTAACAGTTCTCACAACAGTGAAGCACGACGCCTCGGGCCACAGCTGCCCAGGATGCAAAGCCAAGTCTGTCCTCCACTTGAGCTCACCCAGTTTAGGGTGTAGGATTTAGGGTCTAGGGCATCAGTCAGAGTTTCCAGAAACCAGATAAGTCATTATTGCAGTCACCTACGAAAACGGACCCCTGATTTTTGGAAACCAACTTAGTCATAAGTTATGAGAATCACACAAGTCTGAAGCTTGTCCATCTTAGGGTTTAAGGGTTTCGGAT